TCTCAGCAGCACGAGATTGAAGGAAACAATTATATACCTGTTTCTGATTCTTTTCTTTAATCATCTGTCATGATGTAACATAGCTCATTATGTCTTCTGTGCTGGAACATTTCTGCTGTAACTAACACAGCCTTGGTCATTGCCTATAATAATATTTTCACAAAATTATATCTTTACTCGGCTTATATTTTGTTTCTTTCTGCTCCATTTTGGCTATCTCACACAACCAACAATCTTTGTGCAAAACTATGTCGGCCATTTTAAAACCACACTTCATGAATTGGTAAAATATATTTTGGTCCAGCGATATTACGTAGGTTAATTATCTTTTTTTTAAAAAAATTGCTATAACACTAGCCCGCCCCAAGTTGTTCTAATCAACAAACTACTCACTTGTGCTATGCACTGGAAAAATGACTCAGTTTCTAGGCGGCAGTTTTGTGTCGAGACAGGAAGATCTTAGCTTAGCGTTCTGCCCACCCACAACATTCTGTGGAAAAACAAATATTCTCAGCAGCACCAGGCATGAGAAAACCTTGTTGCATTTTGCAGAACTCTAGAAACTTGTCATGCCAATTTCCTGCTTCCAAATTCCATACCTTCAAAGGATACTTTTATAGGAGTCGAGATCCATCCTAGCAAATACCAGCCAGGTTTGGAATCCCATGAAAGTGTTAAACATCATTTTAAAAATACTAGGGTTGGATATTTTGCCCAGATCTGGAAGAGCAGATGGACGTAGCGTCACGGAATTCATAAACTGTATACTGTATGTCCTTTGCTCATTACCTTATATATGTTTGGATTGACATTTTTACAAGAGTCTTTCTAGTGCTATTATGCTGATCCAATCTTTAAATCTTGAATGCATTTGCCAAACAGTTGGTTATTCTACAGTACCTTTGTTAAAAGTGCAAGTCTAAATTATTCTCCTTCCATTTGGAACTCCTATATTATTTCCTTAGGAAATAAATATTCGGAAAGATAATATAGGTAGGCTTCAACTTGCGACCACAACTGAGGCTGAAATTTCTGTTGCTAAGCAAGACAGCCGTTAAGGGAGTTTTCCCCATTTTACGACCTTTCTTGCCACATTTGTTAAGTGAAATCACTACAATTGTTAATTTAGTAACATGATTCTTAAATGAATCTGGCTTCCCCCATTGGCTTTGCTTGTCGGAATGTCACAAAAGGGGAACACCTGACACACACACATCGGGGACACTGCAATTGTCATAAATACATGCCAGTTGCCAAGTATCTGAATTTCAATCACGTGACCATGGGGATGCTGCAATGGTCATAAGTGTGAAAAACAGTCGTAAGTCACTTTTTTCAGCGCTGCTATAATTTCAAATGGTCACTAAACAAATTGTTGTAAGTCGATGATTACCTGTAAGCAGGTAGTGTCCAGATTTTTCATGAACGCAGAGTAAGCACCTGAATGAAGGATCAGCATTACATTTTAAGGATCTAATGCAGCAGTAATGAAGATAATCAGCTAATGGGATATGGTAATAACAGGAGATGCAGCCCCATCACATCTGGGGTATTCTAGACCGAGGAAAGCTGATTTAAAGTGATCTAAAGCCACATTTGGAGATGACATAATTTAGCTGTTTTAGTATTAACATAGGTTATGCAGCAGAGAAACAATCAGGTTAGCCTTCGTCATAAAATATTGCTGGCCACCAGACTGATGTAGGGTGAGTAAAACATGGGATATCCGTTGATTTTTTTTCCTTCCATTTTCCACCTCCCATAAAATTAACGAATAACTTTTCATTTGGAGCTCTGGAAATATACAAAATTTATAATTTCCTCCTTCCTGGCAAGACAATAGTTAGCACGCTACAAAAGTCTTGGATGATTTATTTCAGATATGTTATTTCAAATGACTCTTTGATCTTAACTGGCCGAAGGGGATTATTGTTCTGGAGTTTATCTTCTTTACAAAAATCACAATTGCTTTCCATATCTTATGTTTGCCTTGTTAGTGAAGACCATGCTGGCTGGGGGTTATGGAAGGTGAAGTCAAACTCATCAAACTGGAGAGGGCTGAACAAAAGGTTGAGCCACATCCTCTGTCTGTTTTTTCTTGCCGAGTATATATCTGTGCAAGAAACCTCGATTTTGCTGAATAAATAATTGGAGAAGAGCCTTGGATCAATATGAAATAGGGGATTTCTAACTTTAGAAGGTGCTGCCAGGGAAGGGGATGAGGAAAACATCTGCTTGCTTATTTTTTAAGCTTATATCCCACATTTTCTCAAAAACTTAAGGTTCCATAGAAAGCCACAGAGATGATATGGGAGAAACTGGGTGATGATAGTAACCATATATTGTATGTTATAAGAAAAAGGAAGAAAGCATTATAGATAGTCCACGACTTATGATCACAGACCATGGCGATGACCAGGACTTAGGGGACAGTATCAATTGTGAATACGTACAGATGGCCCCTCTCTCTCTGGTCACTTGCAGGCCTATGAATGCAAGGTCATGAAAGGACAGCAAAAGAAATACCCAATGTTCTAACCCACCCGAGGACACTGGTATCTTGGGGAAAACACCCAAACCACCCAAGAGTGAACATATGGTGTCTTGGGAAACACCCAAAAGGGAACATACTAGCTACTTTTGCTTTCTTATCTACAGTGTGCCAGCCTTAAAGGGCGAAGTCTTAATCTTATGCGTGTCAGCTATGCTGGGTGAATTGCTTATGTAATCAAAGTAGGTATAAAAATAAGGCTTTTCTGATATTTGGGGCTTTTGGTCTTTTTGTACAGAAGCCCGTCTCTATTCAGCTGAATAAACACGTAAGGTTGAAGGCAACTTCTGGTTTCCTGTATTTTTTATCAAGCAAAACCTCAGAACCTGCACATCAATGGGGATGCTGCAACCGTCATAAGTGTGAAAAATGGTCATAAGCCATTTTTTTTCCAGTTCCGTTGTAACTTCAAACAGTTTTAAATGAGTCAATTTCAAGAAAGAAATTCAAATGTATTCTGCTTTGATTCTCCGGAGCATATCAGGGAGATAAGGAAAAATGCAAGCAGGCTTTCACAATATTAATACAGACTAATTCTTATAAAGTAGAGTTCCAGAATTCTTGTGAAGTATGTTTGCTTGGTCTACTCAAAGGGCTGACACATGCGTAGCACTTCAATTTTTTCTCTTTTCCCACAACAACCATTTTCCATGGTCTGTTGGGCTGACAAAAAGTAACTGATCAAAAACCATTCCCTGAGTTTCCATGGCCGACAAGTGAACTTACTTGGAGCATGAGTTGGGTGGAAGAGTTGTACAGAGAGTTTCAGGAATAGCCTTGAAGGACCAAAGGAAGACCCATTATAAAGGCAACAGTCAGATGAGAGGACTTGAGTCCTTGCCAGGAAAATACCTTGAGATAATATATCTCAGATAGGCCTCTCTCTAGTTCCCACAAGGTGAGGGAAGGGGAAGCACAGTCAGACTTGCAAGACTCTATTGCAGTGATGGCAAACCTTTTAGAGACCGAGTGCCCAAAAACTGGCCCTGCCCCTGCTCCACCCCCCTGCTCCACCCCCGCTCTGCCCCCCCATCCCCTGTCCCGCCTGCCCACAGGACCACTCACCGCCTCCAGGGCCCGCTGCAGATCACCCAGGCAGCCCAGCAGTGCTATGGCGGCCACGCCCTCTGCCCGCGCCCTGCAGCATCAACTGCATGATGGGGTGTAAGGGCAGAGTTTTGTCTATGCTGCCTGGCTGCCATGTCCTTGGCTGTGCTGCTCCGTTTGGGCCACACTCGGGGGCGACTCTCCTTCAGGGGGGCTGCTGGAGAGGAGGGGGTCACCGGGGAGGCAAGGCTGGGGCAACGGCACGTGTGCCCACAGAGAGGGCTCCGAGTGCCGCCTCTGGCACCCGTGCCATAGGTTCGCCACCACTGCTCTATTGCCATAGCTGTTACAGTAACGTTATTCTGTTTTTCTAAGAATCTTGTGAAATATAGTTTGATGAGTGTGGTGGAATGTAGTCTGGATTCCCAGGAAGGAGGGGCTGCATTTCAGAGAGAAAAGAGGCAGGGATGCATGGAAAGTTTGGTTGGGAGGAAGAGAGTTAAAACAGGTCCCACCTACTGATTTCCAGAGTATATCTATCGTGGTCACATAGCTGCTTTCTGGCAAGATTTCTGTCTATAGGTGAGGAACAATAAAGGAATATATTCAGAAATAACCCCATTTGTCTTTCTTGGCCTGATCATGAGAATGCTAAACATTCTTTCAACAAATTTTAGCCGTTCGATGTGATTATGTCACAGAGAAGTAGGGAAATTTCCAGTGAGTCAGTTTTGTGTAAATAATGGACATAAGCCTTGTGGGAAGCATGGTGTGGGTTAGCATTTTTAGTTTTAGAGATAAAGACAGACTCTCTGGTTAGATATTGCTTGCTTTCCTCAGAATGTTTTCCCACATTATTTCACATTATAAAAGTGTACTTCTCTGGTCCCCTGAGGACGTATATCATCATAAGCATCACATCTAATTCACGCATTGAATCTGTCATATGCCTCTTGTGACAAATTATATTAATTAGCATTTCTCAAGTATGGCCATTAGAATTAATGCTAAAGGGAGGTAGCAGGAATAACTGTTGCTTAAGGGTTGTCCTTGAAAAACCCACCACTTTGGGGGCTATTTCTTTTTTCGTTTGCTCTGCAGATAAAACAAACTGGGCATGTTCATGAATTACTCTAATATATTTTGCTTTTTTAGCCTCATGGATATTGATTTGAAAGTAAATCCTACTTTGTTCAATGGGTAAATTGTTCAGGTTTATGCAGGGGTTGCAGAAAAAGGAATATAAATAATCATCAAATCAGAATGCCTTGACCAATTTTTTCTTGATTTCTAAAATTGATGTAAATGAAAGGAAAATCTTAGAGCGCTTGAATGTACATTTGTCTACTAACGTGATACACTTGGGAGTGGTAATTTTTAACCTATATCTTATGATTTTCAGATGCTGAGGAGAACAGACATTCTGTAAGTATATTTTTCCTCTGACTGGTGCATATTTGGAGATGTGTTTAATATTTCAGTTGTCAAAACAGAAGCCAAGTTGTCTGGATTTGATTCATAAATATCTTTTAGAGTCTGTTGCACTTCATTAAGTGTATTCTGAATCTGTTGGCTGTATATCATAAATAAACAGAAAGAGATGTTATAAATTTAATGCTTGAAATAGATTCAAGGAATACATTGCCCTGGATTAGGAGCATACAGGTTAACTAATACCTAGCTTGTATGTATATTGTATACCCTGTTAATCCTGGCTATCCTGAGGATGTCTTTGCTAATGCCACATTACTGCTATATTTTTGTCTGTGATGGAGACAAGCATGTCTCAGAAAGAAATATTTCCGAACTCTAAAAAACATTTGATAAACCTGTTAGAAGAAGCATGCAATGAATAATAATAAAAAATAAGGCTAACCAAATGCACATACCCAAAAAAGATATTGAGACTTTAGAAAGAATGATGAACAGTTGCAGGAACTCAATATGTCTAGTCTAACGAAGAAAAGGACTAAGGACTGACATGATAGCAGTCTTCCAATATATGAGGGGCTGTCACAGAGAGGAGGGAGTCAACCTATTTTCCAAACCACCTGAAGGCAGTACAAGAAGCAATGGATGGGAACTTATCAAGGAGAGATCCAACTGAGAAGTAAGGAGAAATTTCCTGAGAGTGAAAACAATGAATTAGTGGAACAGTTTGCTCCATCACTGGAGATTCTTAAGAAAAGATTGGACAGCTATTTGTCCAGAATGGCATAGGATCTCCTGCTTGAGCAGGGGGTTGGACTAGAGGACTTCCAAAGTCCATTCCAACTTTATTATTCTGTATTCTATTCCTATGTTGCATGTTCACAGAGCAGTTGGTGGCTGGACTTCCCAATGTAGATGGCACTGAATGGGAAAGGAAAGGGCATCAGGGAATTTACAGTCACTACCCTGAAACTGCCTAGGATTACATTGTATTGCAGTAGAAACACTGCCTGGCCTCAAAGCGGATGTGCTGTAATGATAGGCTGTGGGGTCAGTGCTATTAATGCTAATACATTTTCCAATTCAAGGACAGGGAGGAAAGCACAAAGATGTGGCCTTGAGAAAGAACCCTGAGGGATCAGGAACTAACTTCACTGGAAAATAAGATGATTTTAATTTATCCTCTTGTCCTGGAGCTCTTGGTGTCCCTTTCTGAACTATTCTAGAGGGTCCTTCAACCCTCCAGAGCAATTTTTCAGGGGAAGAAGAATTTGCAAACATCCCTGCCCTCCTTCAGCATCCTGTAATCTCTGAACTCAGGCCAACACATATTTAGGCCGAACATTGGGGACTGGAGGCTAGAACATACAGGGAACGGTTGCTGGAATTGGGTATGTCTAGTTTAACGAAGAGAAGGATGATGGGGGACATGATAGCAGCGTTCCAGTATCTCAGGGGCTGCCACAAAGAAGAGGGAGTCAAGCTATTCTCCAAGGCGCCTGAAGGCAGGACGAGAAGCAATGGATGGAAACTAATCAAGGAGAGAAACAACTTAGAACTAAGGAGATACTTCCTGACAGTCAGAACAATTAACCAGTGGAACAACCTGCCTCCAGAAGCAGTGAATGCTCCAACACTGGAAGTTTTTAAGAAGAGACTGGACAGCCATTTGTCTGAAATGGTATAGGGTTTCCTGCCTGAGAAGGAGGTTGGGCTCGATGACCTCCAAGGTCCCTTCCAACTTTATTATTATTATTATTATTATTATTATTATTATTATTATTATTATTATTATTATTATTATTATTATTATTATTATTATTTCCTAAGCACAAATTCAGTCATGCACTCAACTGCTCTAGAGTCTCCTTTCCTGAAAACTTTCAAAAATAATCTAAACTCGAGCCTGCCCTTTTATCTAAAGCTTTCTGCCTCAGGATCCTTTCTTCAAAATTCAAGATTCAGTTGATCATCTGAACAACTTTGTTCATCACACAGTAACCTTCTTGAGAACGGTCATATAACTCCTGTGGCCTGTTAAACTCTGTCGAGGTATTTCCAACAAAGGAACAAGGCGGGTACTTGTGTGAGATGAGTGCTGGGCAGATCCCACAATTACCGTAGCTGGAGGGGTGCAGTTGTAAGCAATTTCACTATATCCCTGTATTAGATGGGAAGATGTTGTTTCCATGCCGTGAATGCATATTAGGAATCTTGCTGTTTGGGGCTTGTTTATGATGCCTTTTCAGTTTGCTTCACCTTCCAACTTGATGTGAACCTGTTACAACAGTCTGCTTGTATGTGTAGAAAAAAGAGGCAGAGTGCAGAATTGCTGATGAGTCACTGTGAGTTTGAAAGAGCTTTGTCACCATAGTGTGTATAGAAACACTGAGAAAAGATACATTTCTTTTTCTTTCTTTTTTTTAAGATCAGGAAGAGATATGTGAGTTTAGACCAGGGGTAGGCAATCTTGGCTCTTTTATGACTCGTGGACTTCAACTCCCAGAATTCCTGAGCCAGCATGGCTCAGCTTGGAAACCTCTCCCTTTTCCCTCAGCATGGCTGGCTCAGGAATTCTGGGAATTGAAGTCCACGAGTCATAAAAGAGCCAAGGTTGCCGACCCCTGGTTTAGACCCATACCTGAGAAGACAGAATAAGGCTTATAATTATTGACTAGCAAGCAAGTTCTGATTGGTTAACAGTTCTCTGTCAGCCAATCAATTCTCTAGAGATATTTAGTACCGTCCTGAGAAAGCAAGCCTCATTGGCTAGTGCTTCCTCGACTTGCAAATATGAAACATGCCTTTCCTCATCAGAAGCAAGGAAGTGGTTTAAACATTGTACGTTTTGTGTACACCTGATGAAGTGGATTATAATTAATAAGAATTTATAACATGGCTGGTTTAATTCCTTAAGATGTTGGCAGCAACAAACTAACATCACTATCCATCTAGTATTTATGAGTTCTGAAATGGATGCATACAATTCCTTCACTGCATCCTTACCAATTCCCAGCAGAGTTTTTGTTCATTTGAGAAAAAATGCAAAATAAAATCAATTGTGTAGTTAAAACTGGCTACACACAAATGTTGCAATTTATACGAGTTAAACTAACCTGTTTAGAAAATGCTCTGAAATGTACTGAAATCAGCATAGCTGGTCAATAGCCCTTCATATAGTTTGTACTCCCTGATAAATTTCCGTTATTTCTGTTATTTGAAATCAAACTAAACTAGGAGAGTTTCAAAGTATAATGAAACTTGAAGCAAATGTGAACTATGTAGGTATTTGGAGTTATATTAAGAGATGTCATCCTACTTTTCAGTGGACATAAAACAGAAGCTCACAGAACTACTCTTTGCCATTATCCATTTCAGGATCCTGGATGACTGAGTTTCTCCCTGAGGCATGCTACTCATAATGTAAACTATCCCAAGCTAGAATAGAAAGTTTCATGGGCAAATTTTGAGTTACTCAGAAAGGAACTGGGTGTGGGTTTCCTTCCTGGAATCAGAACTGGCAATCTTTCTGTACTGTTTAATATTACCACCACTTTCTGAAAACATATTAAAAGGAAATATCTTAACAATAAGGGAGCTACTTCGTAAAATACTAATTTGGTATTGTTTGGTTTGCCTCAGAAGTACAGCTTGATTTCATAGACGATGCTCCTTCACTCTTTTTACCTTCTTGTGTAGATACCTTCTTTGTTTTATTGAGCTCTTAGTTCGTACAATATATAATATGTTTTAAGTGGCAAAATGAGAAGATGTAAACTTACTTTACATTGTTCATTTCAAAGAAAATGTTAAAAATGGTAACGTGAGATACTTAGGAAATACCCAAACACCCAAAATTGAAATTCTAGGATAGTAATTGGATATATATCTTATAAATCCATATTTATATACTCTTAATGACACAACTCATAGTGCTGTTGGAATGTACAATCTTCTTTCTCTATTACAAAGTAACAATCCCTAAAATGGCAAATGATGTTACTTCCAGGTAAATATCTGTTCATTTGGCTATGAATGTGTGCTGACAATGAGGATCTGAAAATGTACTGTATGGTGGGCATGTGTAGAAAAAGTATTA